CATCTGACCCAGTATGGCCGCTCTTATGTAGTTGCCTGTATAATGTTGCCCCTTTTCATTCCTTGCAGCTAGTCAAACTCTGTGGCTCTCCCAGTTGGGAGCGGAAATAAGTGACAAGTATTTTGCTGATGGAGCTTGGTTCAAAGCACATACAAAGTCCTAGACCTGATGAAATCAAATGGAACGAAACACCACCTTTTTGCTCAGAGCACTAAGAGCGATCTTCTCAGCCTGCACCTCTGATGATCCTCCCTCCCAGAAATGTCGTCCCAGATTTTTTCAGGGTCAGCCACAAACTTTCATCTGTTCTTTCAGCCTCTTTCTCACTTGGTCTGTTCTGAATTTCTGTGTGTTCTGCATCTTTCCCCTCTGCACACACCCACAGTTGTGATGCCCTGTTAAATCCTCTCACACAGTGCTATTAGATGTGTTTTCGGCGTAGCTTCCCACAACCAACTTAAGTGGGGGACTCGCGGACACATCCATTAAAGGGGTTTTCACTGAACTCATAACAAGGATTCACTCAGCTTTAAAAATCGGTCTCTCCACGGTCCAGCCAAGATGACACTGTTGCTTCCCGTCAAATTGCTATCGGGGAGTCCCTGTCACTTAGCACCCGAGGGGAAGCCCTGAGAGCTGTAACCTAGAAATGAGATGTGGCATGTTCATAATTTCTTGAACCATCCAGTCACTCAGTCAGGATAAATACTCCTTGCACCTACACTCTGTTCTTATATTTGGGGAATGTTGGAAGTCCCACAAGAGAAGGATGAGTACGTGAATGTAAGTCACCCTTTGGTAGCCTCTGAGAGAAGGCTTCATCATGTTTAGTTTTCAGCACTCAAGTGAGTTCCCTTCAATAGGTTGAATGAGCAGCAGTGATGCTGATCACGGCCTTCTTTCTGAAGAAACACAATTTGGCTTTCCCACAGGTAGACTAGGGACTTTGAGAAAAGAAGCTTTGGAGTATGAAGTGTGGAAAAAGCACTGACCATCCGGTATCCTTTGACTGAATATCCGAGGTCGTTGAAGATGACAAGCCCTGAGAGCTGTAACCTAGAAGTGAGATGTGGCATGTTCGTAATTTCTTGAACCATCCAGTCACTCACTCAGGTCAGGATAAATACTCCTTGCACCTACACTCTGTTCTTATATTTGGGGAATGTTGGAAGTCCCACAAGAGAAGGATGAGTACGTGAATGTAAGTCACCCTTTGGTAGCCTCTGAGAGAAGGCTTCATCATGTTTAGTTTTCAGCACTCAAGTGAGTTCCCTTCAATAGGTTGAATGAGCAGCAGTGATGCTGATCACGGCCTTCTTTCTGAAGAAACACAATTTGGCTTTCCCACAGGTAGACTAGGGACTTTGAGAAAAGAAGCTTTGGAGTATGAAGTGTGGAAAAAGCACTGACCATCCGGTATCCTTTGACTGAATATCCGAGGTCGTTGAAGATGACCTTCACCAGCCACACCGGTGTTTAGTTAATCTGTTAGGTAGGCTTGATGCTACTGACCAGGGGCAGCCCTAGACTAGCTGCCAGCAACTGGCTCCCCAGGTGAACCATGCAATCGGTGCTGCCCTCCTCCCCCCAACCCTAAAGGCAGATATCGACTGAGGATTTTGGTTCTGCTGGCTGGGGGTGGAGTTCTGGTTTGCCTTTATGGACAGGCCGCCCCTGCTACTGACTTGATGAAGAATGACATGTACAGGCAGTCCCCGAGTTACGCGGATCTGACTTATGTTGGATCCGCACTTACGAACGGGGCTTTTCTCTCCCTGGAGGATGCGG